GTGATCCTCCTGCCTTAGCCTCCCAAGTGCTGGGATTACAGGTGTATGTCACCACGCCCAGCTGTGTTACTTTTTTTTTTTTTTTTTTTTGGTTTTTCTCCGGTACCGGGAACCAAACTCACGACCTTGCGCTTGCCAGGCAGGCGCTTTTGCCGCTGAGCTAAATCCCCAGCCCCCCAGCTGTGTTACTTTATAAATTACTACTTATGTAATTTTCAAGAAATAGTAAAATACTTCCAAGTTTTTGGGCCCGAGTCACTGCAAGGAGAAGAGCTTTTGCTGTACATTAAACACAACTAGTACTTGATAGAGACCTCTACAGAGCGGCTCTGAGCAGGATTTAAAATTAACTGATTGGCTTTCTATGTTTACTTGTGAGTCTGTCCAAGGCCTAGGCCCCTTTTCTGGAGATGGGCTGTGGATTCATGGTAAGCAAACCCCTGTAAATCACTGGTCTCAGTGGAGGCCTGTGGTGGCCTGTGATGCTGTGATGCCTCAAAGGACAAGACAAGGCCACAGCTAAGGACACCTGGCTTCACCCCCAATTAACTAGATAAAGACTATAGCTGCAGGCATCTCACTCCTGAGGTGAAGACCTTCTTGGAGATAATGTAGTTCTCCTAAATTAATATAATACATTATTTGAAGAAATCCCAAGGTCCTGCCTAGATTCCCACAATTTCTTCAGTATCCTGTCCCTTTGTTTGATAACCAAATAAATATAGGCTACCCAGAGAAGTTCCTTATCTTAGCCCCCAGAAAATCTCAAATTCAGTTAGAGGATTTTGATCCTCCTGGAGCCCTAAAATCATACCACTTGTCTCTTATTTAAGCATTTGCCATATACTGCTTTGGGAGATTGCAAGCCTGATCAGTCTGCAATAACTAAGTGATAATATAAACTCATTAAATATTCAGAATTAAATTTTTAGTATTAGAAATTTGGAGGGGTCTAGATGGAGTGATGCCCATGGTAAGTTGTTGGAGTTCCCTATGGCTGTGTCCCTCTCTGACTCTGGATGAAAGTAACCTGGTGGGCCAGGGATGTAGCTTGGCGGCACAGTGCCTGCCTAGCAAGCGTGAGGTCGTGAGTTTGATTTCTGGCAACAAAAAATAAAAAAAAAGAAAGTAACCTGGTGGAACCTTGGTGGAGTCAGTATCAGCTTTCATTGAATGATATCTTTAGTGTTTTCTATTTCTGTGTAACCAGTAACACAAAACATATGTTTATAAGCTCCATTTTCCATGGATCACTGGTGTGGTCACAGCTGTTCGAGGCACCCTGCTCATGGTGTTAAAGATCTGTGCTCATTGAGATGGCTGTGCTGTGGTACCAGCTGAAGCTTCTGACCCATTCTGTGCTATGTTGTAGAACCCATTTCATGTCACATGTAGAACACATGACTTAAATCTGACCCTAACTGAAGCCCAAATTCTAGCTCTAAACTTAAACTATGCTCTAAGCCTAACAATATCTCTAACACTAAACCTAGTCCTAGTGCTATAAATATCCCTGACCTCAGCCATAACCCTAAATTTACCTGTAGCACTAGGCTTAATGCTATCCTAACTTTAAACCTGAAAGTAAATCTAAAACTAAACTAATCCTAAGATACCCTAGTCCTAAAGCTGAGTTCTATATACCTAACCTTCTACCTAAGTCTAAAACAAACACAAACCTGAAACTGAAACCTAATCCTAACTCTAGCTACACTGCTAGCGACAACCCTATGCCTAAACTTCACCCAAACTCAGCAAATATCCTGGACCTCAAACTCTGTCCTAACCCTTAGTTCCAGCTGTAGCTCTAATTCTCATTGTAAACCTGTCCTTAACCCTAACTCTAGAACTATCTTTAACCCTAATCCTAAACCTTTAAACCTAATCCTAAACCTAAGCATAGGCCAAGCTCAAGACACAAACCTAACCCTAACCATATACCTTACCCTTACCCTAGAACTAGTACCAGCCCTAACATTAAACTAAGCCAGACCTAAACCTAAACCTAAACCCAGGAACTAGCCCTAGCCCTATCCCCAGGGATAGACTTCACCTTATTTTTAACTGTTACCCTAGCTTTCACTCTAGTCCTAATCCCAATCCTAATCTTAAACCTAGTACTTGCCTTAACCCTAGCCTAAATGTAACCATAATGTTAATCTTAACCATAACCCTAACCCTAACCTTCAAACTAACCCCAACTGTCTTAGTTACTTTTCTCATTGCTAAGAAAATATACCTGATACCTGGATAGTTAACATGGTTTTTCTTCTGTCTTCTATTTCTATGCTGAAAGAAACTGTCAGTGAGTCTTTGGTTGATCAGTATTGCATGTCTATATCTGTTTTCATGAGAAGCCACTTTGAAGATATCAATATGTAATACAACAACCATTGTTAATTCCCTACCACTTTATTTGTAACTCCGTATTGTCTGTACTGTTCTTTTGCTGTGTTGTAAAATGTTGTCTGTCTGTTAATGTTTTCCTCCTTTTATTTTTAAAATAAAAAAAAAAGAAAATATACCTGATACCTAAATTTAAAAGAGGAAAGTTTTATTGGAGCTCACAATTTGTAGAAGTTTTAGTCCATAGTCACCTGGCTCCAAGGCAGAGTGGCATGACAGAGGGGGATTGCAGAAGAGAAACAGTCCATCAAGGGGCAGGGCAGGCCCAAGGCATGAAAGCAACAAAGTAGCAGTGAAGCAGTAGCAAGCAGCAGCAGCAGCAAGGAAACTTCCCTTTATATTTCACCCAACCTACCTGCTCTTTGGGTGGAGTACCTTCAATTCCAGCATCATACCCCAAATCCCAACGTTACACACTATCCCAGCATCACGTAACGTAGATCCAGCCACCTTCTAAAAACCGAACCTACAACCATATGAAGCTTTAGAGAACCTCTAGAGAACCTCTAGAGAACCTCTAGATATAAGCACTAACACTAACTTTAATCTTCACACTAGCCTTGCTAGTCCTAATCCTAACCTATCCTAATCCTAAAAATTAACCCTTAACCTAATGTTAGATCCAGCCCCGCCTTTCTGATCCCCTTTTGCGCTTATGTGGTAGAAACTGTTTCAGATGTAAAACACATGACCTAAATCTAACTGCAACCCTAAACCCTTCCCTATCACAAGGGATACCACTAGCCCTAGATCTACCCTAACCATAACCATAACACTAACCGCTACCATAGTACTGGTGCTAACTCTAACCAAGCGCTAAACTTTACTCTAGGAGTAACCCTAACACTCAGCTTAATACTTCATTCTAACACTAATCTTAACACTAACCACAGACCTATCACTAAACCTAGATCTAACACGTATCCTAATGAAAACCCAACATCTAACCTAGACATAGTCCTCACACTCATCCTAGTCCTAGCCATAACCCTAACACTGAACCTAACCATGACCTAAACTATAACACTAGTGTAATCCTAGCCATAACAGTAATACTAACCCTAAACCTAAACCTAACTCAAACACTACCTTCTAAGCATAACCCTAGCTCTAGACGTTGGCCAAACTACAGCCCTAAATGTAACCCTAACAATAACATTAACAGTAATCCTAACAAAAACCGTAGCTCTGGTTTAGCCCTAAACCTAGCTTAACCCTAAGACTAACACTAACCCTAAACCTAATGCTAGCACTAGCTGTAACACTAGTCCTAATCCTAGCCCTAAGAATAACCCTAACCCTAATGGTTAACCCTAACCCTCCACCTAGACCTAACTATTGTAGTAACAATAAACTCTAACCCTATTTGTAACCCTAACTGTAACCCTAACCATAGTCTTAGCACAAACCATAAACCAAGCCTAAATCCTAACACTAACCTTAATTTTAACACTAACAAAATCCCTTGCCCTAACCCTCATCATTCCAAAACACCAACCCTAGTCTTAATCATAAACTAAACCCTAACCCTACACCTAACCCTGGGCATAGTATTAACCCTGGCCCTAAATTTTAAATTGTAACCTTAACCCTAATGCTAACCCTAACTCTAGTCATAGCCCAAGTCTAGCCCTAACACTAATCCTAACCTTAACCCTAGCTCTACCACTGGCTCTAATCCAATCCCTAATCATAGCACTAAAGATACATCCATCCCCAAGTCTAACCCTAGCCATAACCTTAAACCCCAAACTCTCCCTTTACCTAATCCTAGCCCTAACTCAAAACATAACACTAACCTAAACCTAACCATAACTGTGACCCTAGCACTAGCATTATTCTGCGCCCTAGTTCAAACCCTAAGTCTAGCCCTAACCCTCACTGCAAACCTAACACTAACCCTGACTGTAGCACTACACCTACCTTAACCCTAGCTCTAACCCTATAGTTAACCCTAACTAGTGCTAGTACAGCTGAAATTCAAGTCCAGCCAGAACTCCAGGAGCCTCCCCTCTAACCCTGGCTCTTCTCAGGATGAGGGAGATTCAGGCCTCTAGCAGGACGATGACATCAGGACCTGGGAAGAGCCCAGGGCCACCTACCTCTAACAGTGAAGAGGCACAGAGAAAATGTTATGGCAAAAATTCAGGCTGTATTCCACAAGAGACCAAGAGAACAGACAAAGTTTTAATTTAGACCAGTCACCTTTCATCCCGATTTGCAAGTCCGGGAAGTGGGCGTGGACCTGTCTTTGTTCCCAGGTTATATACATTTTTGGTTTCCATGGTAACAGAAAGGAATGTTGTAGCCCTGGCCACATGTTGTTTTCCTTGTGCCACGTAACTGTGTCAGGATCCGGTCATGAGCCCAACCACAATGACATATACTTTCTGTACTCTGTTCTATATGTCCCCCTTTAGATAACCATACATTTCCTTTATGGTTACAGTGTTTATCTAGGGCCAGGGAAGGGATGAAACAACCCAGGCAGGGTCATAGGTGGTTATCTGGGTCCTGGTGTTCTTTGTCTTTAGAGAAGCATTCCAGGGCTAAGTCAGGACTGCAAAGTTAATTCTTTACAACCCTCTGGGATGTTTCTCAAGACACATTTTGAGGCTTGCATTAAGACTAGAATTATTCTATCTTAAAATGATATGCTAAGAGTCATTGTCCCCTACACAAGAAACACTTAGAGAACTGCTCTGCCAGGCGCTGCAGGACTGTGGGGTCACTTGTCTCCAAGCTGTGAGACCAGACCTGGCCCCAGCACTTACCCTGCCCATGGCTGGCACCTGTGTCCTAGCCCAGTCTCATGGGGCAGGAGTTACCGCTGCTGTGAGCTCTAACAGCTTCTCTTGCAGCTGGCCCAGCTTCCTGGCCAGCTCCTTCCTCTCAAGCTGCTCAGGTTATAGCGTGTTGTTGATATGGGTGTTGTCTTCACTCTACAGAGAATGGTAATCAGTGCCACCAGCACAGCCAGGCCCAGGACCTTAACCTGGGTGTCCATAGCAGAGGGCAGTATGCAGGATTCTCTCCATTTCCTGCCAGATGCTGGAGCAGGGGTCTGGCTCACGGGCACTTTCACAGTTGAGGGCTATATTGGTCCATTTTATTGTTAGTGTGTGTGTGAGGAGAAAGACCCAGAGGATTAAGTCTGTTGCTCTGCCCTGAAGGACCTGGCAGTGAGGAGCCCAGCAAGCAGTGGCCATGTACCAGCCTGAGGAAGCTGAACTTCAGCTAGGCCAAATGTTCCTTGAGCTCACAGTTCTGCTACTGACGGTATTGTGCTTGCTCTGGATACACTGCAGGATGTTCCTGTCCTCCGGTAACAGTGTGGCCCACAGCTCTGACTTGCACTCCAGCTGGCGCAGCCGCTCCTCATGCTTCAGGTTCCTTCTATACAGGCTCTGGCTTTGTTGCACCTGTGCATTAAGCTGCCCCAAGATGTGCTCCAGCTCATTCTGCAGCCACTGGAGCTCAGAAAACAGCTGCTGCTCCTCATGGCCCTGCTTGGGGCTCCAGGGCTGGGGGCACAGGTGAGAGGAAACAGCGGTAAGGGTGTGGGCCTCTGGCCTCTCAACAAGCTCCTCAGTGCTCAGCCCCCAGTTCAGGCTGCTTGCCCCGAACCTTGGCTTCCTGATTAATGATTTTGTATACTCAGATGATGGCCAGTCTTGAAGCTACTTTCCCATATGGTTCCTGGGTTGGGGTTGGCAGTGGGCACAACACCCTTCTCTGTAGATGGGGACAGCGAAGCTCAGAGACATGACAAGGTTGCCAGAGAAGCCTTGACCTTTGCAACAGTGCCCTTGAATCCACCCTACTCCTTGGGGCAGTGTGAGCCACTTCCACAGCCCAGGCCTTCCTCCATGTCCCCCTTGTCTGCACTCACCCATCTGTCTCCTCAGTTCTGCCATGGTTCCTTCCAACTTCTGGACCTTCCTGTCACGCTCCTTCTCCTCCTCCTTTAACTTGCACATCAGCCCAAGGCACAGGGCACAGTAGATGGAGGGAGGGACTGGCGACCTCGGGTACATCTATCATCTATCCAGTATCCTTCCCATCTCTCCACTTCTGCCTCCAATCTGTGGTACCTCCGTGATGAGTCTTTGGATCTGGGTCCAAGAGAAATTCCTAGGGATGGAGACACAGGGTCATGGGGGCAGTGGCTAAGTGGGAAAGAGGCTCATGGGCAATGGCCTGCCCTGACCCCGTAGCCTAGAGACTCCTGCCCCACTAGGAGACACTCACTGGATCTCAGGAAGGAGCTTGCAGCACCTGGTGGCATCCTGGCTCTGTGGAGACAGAAAAGAGGTGGTGATTCCACTTCCAGTAAGAATCACCCAGGGGTAGCCTGAGCCAAGCTCAGAACTCCAACCTCCCCAGACTTCACAGAAAAGCCTCACTGTGGACTCCCCATCCTAGTCCCCAGAGAGACACATGGCTCCAGGGGACAAACAGCCTGAAGAGAGGAGAACAGATGCTGGAGAGGGCACAGTCCTTTGGAGAGTGGTAAGGGGAGAGGACACAGCAAAGACAGCAGACAAAAGGGAAAAGGCACAAACCTGAAGTGGAGGGATACCACACGTTGACACAGTGTCATCATGAGGTCTTGCAGAAGCAGTGTGCTCTTTTGTTGCCGGTCACAGAAGAAAGTGGGCTTAAGGGCGCCATGAAGGAAAGAAGTTGCCTAAGTGCCATGGACCCAAAGGGGTGGGGCCGGCAGATTGTTGCTGCTGTCAGAGGGAAAGTCACGTGCTGGTAGGCACTGGAAGTGTGCACAAGGCTTTCACAGGCTCCGGGCAACATGGCATTTTAAGCAGGGGCTGACAGCCTCCTTCCAGAATCCAAGATGACCTTGCTGTCCCTGCGGCTCAGCCAAAGACTGTCCAGACTGTGAGCTGAGGCGTCCCCAGCAGGTGCAAGGAAGATGTGCCCAAGTCAGGGAGGCACTGTTCCGCAGAGCCACTCTGAGCTGCAATGTGCCTGACGCTCATGTGCATTTTAAGTCCAGACTTCCCCTAAGGGGTCACTGCGACACAAGAGGTGCAGCTACAAATTAAGTTTGAAAGACACTGCAGCCCAGGGAAAAAAGTTCCTCATGACACCCTCATGAGCTTACTAGCTCATGGCAAAGGGGAACCCAGACTCAGGTCTTCACCTGATCCTGGTGCCCAGCGCTCTCCTCACATGCCTTCGGGTCTGTCAGAGAACCTGAGCGTAAGTGGCTCTTCTCACTGGCCTGGCTTCCCTTAAGGCTGAGGAAAATCAAATACCAGCTACCATGTACTAAAGGTTTGCTCTGCACCAGTCCTGGGGGATTGACATAAAAATATTTCCTCTAAACTTCACAAATGTACATGAAATTACACAGCCACCACCACCACCACCCCTTTTTTTTTTGCTGTGTTCAGGATCAGACCCAAGACTTGATACAAGCTTGTCAAGAACCCATCCACTGAACCAGAACACGATTTGCCCATCAAGGGCAGAATTGTTACTACCTTACACTTTTCTCATCTGAACCTTGACCCTCTACTGCCATTTCAGTCCCATGCTTAACAGCCTGGCCAGCCATGATTCACAGCTTCATATAGGTGACAGTCACCACCACCGGATGTCTCAGGTTGTGTGCTGTTTTTCATCTTTTTATTCTTTGGCACCACTCGAATGCCACCAAGGTTGTTCCTTCTTTGAGACTCAACTGCAGAAAGAAAAAGCAATGATACTCGTGAAAATCATAAGCCCATGTTCACATCCTGCACACTTTCTACAGAACACTCATGCACGCCATCTGCTGAATGCTTCCAACAATCATACAAAGTGCTGTAATGACCAGTTAAATGATTGAACAAATGAACTGTGGGAGAAGGAAAGAAAGGAGGGGAGGAGGGAAGGAAAGAAAAGAAAAAAAAGCAGGCAAGCAAGTTGGCACTATGGTGTGTGCCTGTAATCTCAAATACTGGGACTTTGGGGCAACAGGATCATAAGAATGAGGCAAACCTGAGGGGGCAAAACAAGCAATAAAAAACCACCTCAACATAGAAAAGATAAAATAAGTGCTGGGCAAGTGGTCCTGTGCTCTCTGAACTTGATCCCTAGGACTACCAGAAAAAAGGCAATAAAAGGGGTGGGGCGTAGCTCAATAATAGAGAGCTTGCCCCACTTGTGAAGGCTGTGGGCTTAATCGCGTGAGCGCGCACGCGAACACACACACATACACACACACACACACACACACAGATTTCAAATGTAAAGTGAATTTAGAGAACATTTTGAGTCTCTGGAGAGTGGAATTCTGGGCGGAAACTGACACAAACCTGTTCTCCTGGGGTCACCCAGAGACACTCAACTTTTTGAGCTCCCACATGGAGTTTTCATATTGTCAGTGTCTAAAGAGTCAGGCGACTAAAATCCTCTGTGCACCCACTCCTGCGGTCCCATCCCCTTCTAGGTGGAAATCTGTGTCTCCACCAGAGAAGCCAGAAAGAAGGTAAAGACACTTTAGGGGACCAGGTAGGAAGATCAAGAGCCAGGTTGGATGTAAGGGCGATCTGGCTGTGACATCTGTCACCCCGTTGATCGCCAGGATTGATTTGGCTGATCTGGCTGGCTAGGTGGGTGTCCCCTTCCTCGCTCAACACTCCATGTGCATCCCTCCTGAGCTGCGCGCTCCAAGAGGAGGGAAAAAAAAGATCAAGAGCCAGGTGAGGGGTAGTGATGACTGTGTCCAGTGGACGGGGTCTTTAGCACACTCTGCTCCTCCCTCCCTGTCCCCAGAATCTGTGCCCCTACCCTCCTCTGTGTTCAGAGGGGAAGGGAAGGAGGTCCTCTGAGATAGGGCTCAGGGGGTACTGTGTGAGGTACTGGCAGGAGGCCAGTGCCAAGCCCCAAGTGGGGCCCCAGGAGTGACCAGCAGAGTCACCAAAACCGGGAAGGAGGCAGGGCTGTGAGGAGAGGGGCTGTGATAGGATTTGATGGGGGCGCTGAGGGTCCCTCCCCATTTGCCTCCATGGTGAAACAGACTCTGACAAAGGAGCTGCCATCTAGGTACTTTGGGTCCAGGAGCTGGGACCCTGTGCGCTTTACCTTTTTTTTTCCTTCGCCCCCGCAGCCAGTTTCTGCCTGTAGGTTTCCTCAGAAATGCCACGGCAGGGACAAGGGAAAGGGGTGTGACCGCTTCAGTACAGACCCTCCCATCCCTAGGCAGTTTCTTCCAACAGGACTCTGAGACTCTGCGTAGCTCTGCAAACCGCCTTCAAGAAACGTTAACCAGGAGGCGGAGCTAAACTCATCAGTTGGGTGTGGCCTCAGACCTCTACTCCCATTGGTCTAGGGGAATGATAATGCCATAAGGGCGGGTCAGAGGTTGGGGAGGGGGAGTTGGGGGAATGGGGTGGAGTTGAGGGGTGGAGTGGGAGAGTGCCATTAAAGCTGTAGGCAGCTGCTATTCCAAGCCACCCTAGGGAGCTGTGACAGAAGGGGCTGGGAGGAAGGCAGAGGCCAGGTCAAGGTTTCTGAAATGTCCCACAGATAGCTGTGTACAGAGTGCATTCCATTCAAACAAAAATAGTATAGTTTATCAATAAAAGTTATTCTATAATAGTCTAAACAGTGTTTCTTGTAATGGATGGAATTGATTCTAGATAGTCTTGATCTATAAGCAGGACTAGTGAGCAATGATGAATACGTGGCTAACTCTAAAGAAACAATCTGTTCAATAATATTGGATGAGCCAGGCATGGTGGCGCACGCCTGTAATCCCAGCACTCGAGAGGCCGAGGCAGGAGGATCGTTGCGAGTTCAAGACCAGCCTGGGCTACAAAGTGAGCTCCAGGCCAGCCTGAACTGCATAGCGAGACCCTGTCTCAAAAAGACCAAATAATAATAATAATAACAATAATAATAATATTGGATGGTAGGAGCAAAGTACTGAACTAAAAAATACTGGAAACAGTAGCACTGGCTTTGACGGTATGGTGATCAATGTCAAAGTATTCAGTGCTTCTCCAAACGCTTAAGAGAATAAATGTAGAGTATTTCTAGACTTTTTGAGATGTGTTAAAATAGCTAGGACAACCACTAACAGAAGCCATAAAGCAAACAGAAGTCAAAAGAAAATGTGTGAAATGAGAATTGAGTAGAGGGAACAAATTGGAATAAAAAACCAAAAGTCTCAATCTGAAAAAAAGAAGGGGGAAGGTAAAATAAAAACAAAAATGCAGGCAGAAATAAAATGGATAGAATCAAAGCCAAATAAATCAGTGATCACTGTAAATGTAAGTTACTCAACTATATGGAAAAGACACATTGTCAAACTATGTTTTTGAAAACATAGTTTGCCTTTATGAGTTTGCCTTTATGAGTCGCTGCATCTGAAACTAAAATGACAAAAGGACTGAGAGTAAAAACATGGAAAAAGATGTGTGGGCATCTATTAAGGTAAAGCCCAGGAGGCAGCTACTTCAGAGTCACACAAAACAGACTTTGAGGCAAAGCAGTATTACTCTCAAAGGAAGCCGCGCCCTAATGTTAAACTGTTCATTTCATCGGGCACTTAGGACAATTCTCCATCTGTATGACTTCCCTTATTTCTTTGTGAATACTCCTCTCCTGAGGAGTATTTAGAATGCTCAGGATTTTGTTCCTAGAATTTCTCTATGATTTTTCCTGGTGATCACATTCAACTCTATGGCATCAAATGCCAGCTATACACTAACTCTGAAAGTTGTAAAGCCTTTAGCCTCACTCCTGGAACATATTCTCCCAGGTTTTAACATCTCAGATAAAGATAACTCCACATTTCCTTTTTTTTTTTTTTTTTTTTTTTTTTTTTTTTT